TTCTTATGACAAAAGAACAAGTAAGTATTCTGAGTTCTGAGTCTGTGTATAGCCTCTGATGCTGATTACCTGGATGGTTTCATACCTCCAGGTTACACCAGTCCTGGCGTTGCCTCTACCTTGATCTTGTTGAGCAGCTTTGGGCAAAGGGGGTTCTCCTCCCTAAAAGTCCACTTCCCCTTGTAGAAAGTGGGCGGTGCTCACAGAGAATTCTAGATGTGAGCCTTGGAAACAACTGAGGCCCACTTGGAAAGGGAACAGAGGAGATATTCCCCACTGATCTAATTGAACTAGGGTTAAATTCTAGAGGAAGAGAAGAAAGATAAATGAGGAGGCAAACTCAGAGTTGCAAGCAAAGCTCAGGTCAGAAGGGCCCTTTCAAGTAAACACGGCTGTGGGATATTTTTACAAACACAATGCAGTGAAAATCTGTGTGTACAGTACTGAATTACTTTCCAAATGGCAAGTCCCTGGCAAGTAATCGTTCCCACCTTTCACTATTTTTTTTGGCTCCTGTGTAGCAGATCAGTGGGTGTGGGGGAAGAAATGCAAATGGCTAATTAAAAATTGAAAAGAGGCAGCAAAGGACGTACCAAGAGTAGTTGGGCCCTAAGATAGCCATACACAACAAAGAAGTTAAGCAGCTAATTGAAGGGGAATTATTGAGGCTAAAGCTGAGATTCCAAGAGGAGGCCCTGTTTGGGCTCTCGATTCCTTTCATCTAGAATGGCCTCTGGTCCTTGCAGTAATCACCCCACAGGCTTCTCAGCCTCCTTCTTCTAAAGCAGAAAAAACTACAGGGCAAGCCCCATCCTTTGTTTCTCTGATGAGGCTATTATTGAGATTCACTATGCCATTTTGTTACTTACTAATGATGAGCTTGTTATTGGGGAGTTGGGGTGGGGGGGGGTACAGCCTGTTAATTTAGGTTATTCATCAAATCCTCCAGCAAGGAGTTGAATGAGATCTGTGATTAGAACACACTAATGACCATGTTTAGGTGTGAGCATTTGGGGACTTTCTACAAAATCTGTCCCTTCTCTCCCGGCAGCGTCCTTTTGTAATGCATTGATCCAGAGCTTGGAGTCAAACCCTTTAACCAAAATACCCTGGAGGGCAGCAAAGCCTTTGCTGATGGGAAAAATCCTCTTTACTCCTGATTCTCCGGCAGCTCGCAGGATACTGAAGAACGTAAGAGCCCAGCTGCTCTTGTCGCTTATACCTTTGACCTCCTAGAAAAATCAATGTGTGTGTGTTTTAATGTGCCCTCCTGGTAGCGAGCCTTATGTTTGTTTTTTGCTAAGTGGACTCTTGGGTTTCCTCCCCCATCCATAGTCATCACTGGTATGCTTTGCTTCAGTGCTTCTGCCTGGACCTTCCCCTCTTTACTGCAGCCTACAATGAGGTTTTCTTTCCCAATGCCTGAATTATGTCCCTGATAGAAGGGGTCACTGTTCTTAGAATCCTGGCTACACAGAATGGACAAAAATAGGAAGGAAGAATATTTATTCACAGGAGTTCAAATCTAGCTTTAGTAAAGTTCAGAGACAATAACATCATCAATATTACATGTACCTCCAAGATATTAAGAAATTAGATTCTGTCCTTCTGGGAGGCTAGGAAATAGCTGATTGTGCTGGGAAATATCAATAGACTAAGAAAATGAAGAACACTTCCTTGAAAAGCCTTTCCGAAACATTCAGGGTTTGTGACAGGGGCAGGAAAGATACAACAAGAGGTGTTCTCTCTGTTCTTTTCTCTGTCTGGTTTTAGGCCAACTCGACTTTTGAAGAACTGGAGCGTGTTTGGAAGTTGGTCAAGTCCTGGGAAGAAGTAGGGCCCCAGATCTGGTACTTCTTTGACAAGAGCACACAGATGACCATGATCAGAGTATGGAAGGTCCTAGAGGGTGAACGGGGAAGGGGAAGAAGGGCTGGAAAGTTTCGCTTTTTTTCCTTTTCCCAGGAAAGGGTTAATCACTACTGGACTTAGGTCAAAATTGTAACAAGCAAGGCCCAGAGGCACTAGGCTCTAGAAGCTATCACCAAATGGAGTCACTGACTTTGGGTGGGAAATGTTTCTTGAATTCAGGGGGAAATCTAAATACTATGCCACAAGGACCAGTGGCTTCCTGAGGTTTCTTCCTTTTATGAATCCACTTGAGGGCCTCAGATTCAAAGGGACATCTCCCCAAGGGGCAAGCTCTGTAACTGCAAAGACAGTTGAGTCTGGTGGCTGGTCTCATTTCCAGCTCTGCAAGGCCAGGAGACAAGAGTCCTATAGAACAGGGATAATTAAGAGAGAAAAAAATTTATAAGAGAAAGAAAGCTTCCCATATATCACCAGCACATGCGCGTGCGTGTGCGCACACACACACACACCCATACACACACACACACACACACACACACACACACATCTCCTTTCTATTAGAGTCTTATGTATTTGGGGGAAATGGGATATGGATAGGTCTGCCTTATTATAATCAAAGAAAAATCACTAGCTTTGTAGAGAGCCTTACAGTCTCTATGCCTAATCATTAAAAGTGGGAACTGGTCCAACCAAGATCTGTGGACTTTCTAAATGCTGTGACCGTATTGCTTTTTCCCAAGGACATCCTGGAGAACCCAACAGTAAAAGATTTTTTGAATAGGCAGTTCAGTGAAGAAGGTATTACTGCTGAAGCCGTGCTGAACTTCCTCTATAAGGGTCCTCGCGAGAGCAGGGCTGACGACATGGCCAGTTTTGACTGGAGGGACATATTTAATGTCACTGATCGCACCTTACGCCTGGTTAATCAATACTTGGAGGTAAGGGGCAACAAACCACATGAGGGCCACAGTGGGCCCCTTGAAGATGGCCCATGGGTGGGGCCAGAGATCCCTCAGTGAGTCAAATGGTCTTGGGTTTAAGCTTTCATTTTCCCCACTGAAGAACAAGAATTCCCACAGTCCCTAGAGATGGATCCTATCCACTATCAGCTTATCCACGGTTAAAAGAGTTCTCTGTTCACATCTCCTACCTCCTAACTGCCTACCGTGGTGGCGCAGTGGTTAAGAGCTACGGCTGCTAACCAAAAGGTTGGCAATTCAAATCCACCAGCCACTCCTTGGAAACACTATGGGGCAGTTCTACTCGTCCTATAGGGTCACTGTGAGTCGGAATTGACTCCATGGCAACGGGTTTGGTTTTAACTGCTCCCTAAGGAGCCCTGGTGGCACTGCTAAACTAAAGGTCTATAGTTCCAACTCACCAGCTGCTTTGTGGGAGAAAGATGTGACAGTCTGCTTCCGTAAAGATTTACAGCCTTGGAAACCCTGTGGGGCAGTTCAGCACTGTCTTATAGGGTCTCTATCAGTCAGAGTCAACTCAATGGCAATGGGGTTGGTTTTGGTTTAACTGCTCCCTGACTTCTTCTTGGCTGGTTCCTCCTCCCTTGTTGTTGTTAGTTGTTAAGTTGGCTCCAACTCATGGCGACCTTACATGTAACAGAATGAAACGTTGCTCAGTCCTGCACCATCTTCATGATCGTTGTACATTTGAGTCCATTGTGTAATGCCATTGTGTAGGGGGCTTATCTTCCAGCACTATATATAACAATATTCTGTAGTGATCCAAAAGTTTTCATTGGCCCTAGATGAACCGAGACCCATACCTGAGCCACTGGCAGGTGTGACAAGCCCTGGGGGTTAGAGGTAGAGAATTTGAAAATGACTGGGCTATGCTCCTTGACCCTGAGTAACTCCAGTCCAGTAATTCAGCCAGAGATGTACATGTTAACAGCAAACTCTGATCTACTTTGGACAGCGTGCTAAGACAGGCGTCAACAGAGGACCAGGAACACACTGAGGAGAGAGCGACTAACTTATATTGAAGCAGAAAAGGTGACATTTGAGAGCTGAGTCTCAAAGAATAAAGGAGTAGAACTTCAACAGATGGGGGGAAAATGGTGATTTCAGGCTTTAGTGAACATATATTTTTCTCTCTGGTATTCTCTTGGGGAAACACCCTCCTTCATTTCACAGTGATCCTGCTTAGTCCATGAAATTTGTATGATGCTTACGCTGTTTCCCTTATTTCCATGGTGGCCGTATGGTCTAGGCCTGGACAATCAAAGCACACCATCCCTCTCAGACTGAGGGATTTTGGGATAGGTACATAAGCTAGGTCAAGAGGAGAACTCTTTGGAATACTATGAAGACCAAACTCACAGTATTGCTCATGCTATGGGAAGGCCATTCCTTCTTTCTGTGGAATTGCTAGCTGTAAAGATGACAACAGAGGGCTATGAGCAGTTGACTCACTACCAAATGGACAGGGAATGACCAAGAAAAACGCCAGGCAGAGGCAAGCAGAAAGGTGAGATGTAGGGATGTGAGGTTCTCATGGTAGCATTCCACTCGTAGATCCAGCTGAACTTTAACCTCATGTCAACCAATGAATTCCCTTTTTTAATTAGGCAAAAAAGCTTGTGACCAAAAGAGCTTTAATAAATGCACAGAGAAAACAGCATTTGGAAAGAGAAGAAATCATGAAAGGTCAGGGTATGTCTGTGGGGTGGTCAAAGGGCCAGTGTAGCAGAGCTGAGGAGTGGCTGAGGCAGATTTTAAAGGGACTTATGTTCTTTGGGGAAACCGTGGTGGCATAGTGGTTAAGAGTTTGGCTGCTAACCAAAAGGTCAGCAGTGCGAATCCACTAGGCTGTCCTTGGAAACCCTATGGGGCAGTCCTACTCTGTGTTATAGGGTCACTATGGGTCGGAATCGACTCAACAGCAGTGAGTTTGTTTTTTTTTTTTTTTTGGGGTGTTCTTTGGGGATTGAGTCAGTACGATTTTAAACATGAGAGTGATGCAAGCACGTGTGTGTTTGGGAATATAACTCTGGCGTCAGTGTGGAGAAATGTCTGAAACAACAGAGACTGGACCCAAGAGTCCAAGGAAGGGGCCGCTAGAACAGACTGGTCTTGAGAGATGATAATGCCTCTAACCTCAGAGAGACTGGAAAGAAAGAGGCAGAGTTGAGAGAGATTTCAGAAGATAGACACAACCCAACTCAGCTCAAGTAATTACTAAGTGATTCTCAACTTGTCAGAAGATAAGAACGACCTTGGTGCTTTTTATAAAACAGAATCCTGAGCACCAACCCAGATCAACTGACTCAGAATGTCCAGGGGAGAGACCTAGTAATTGTATATTTATAGACCTATTAGATGTGTGGGGCCTTGGAGTTCCCTTGTATAATTACTGAATTGGCATTACCCTCGTCTATCAGTGCCTCTACCAGCCAGCACCACATCCGGGGCCATACCCAACACTATCCACCCAGCTGTGGTCATAAATACAGGCAGGCCCTGGAAGCGGGGTGGATGGAGAAGAGGGGCTCTATTCCTTTATTCTTGCAGAATGGAGTTCAGTGGTTCCCACAATGTTTTTATGAAGTACTATCAGTGGGTAATAAAGAATACTTCCTATCTTTTGGTTGACTTGACATATGTATCAGGTACGTAGGAAGTCTTGTTTCCTTGAAAGATTATTTTTCTGTATAGCTTTTGCTTAATACAACTCCAGGCACCCAACAACAGATCTCTTTCTCTGTCTATGTGTGTGTATATATACTGCTTAAATGGTTAAGAATTCAGCCTTTGAGGCCAGACTGCTTAGGTTCAAACCCTATTAGTTGTGGCTCAGTTTCTTCACCTGTAAAATGGGAATATTAATGGTACTTGCCTGATAGGCTTGTTATGAGAATTAAATAAGTTAATTAATGCAAAGCACTTGGAACAGTACCTGGAATATAGTAGTCACTTAATAAATATGAGATTTTAACCAAATACAAACAAATAAGCAAAAAATATTGCTGAGGGGTGCCAGAAGAAAGGAAATAATAAGAATTAGAGCAGAATTAAATGAAATAGAGAATAGAAAAACAATCGAAAGAGTTGACAAGACCAAAGTCTGGTTCTTTGAAAAGATCAACAAAATTGATAAACCACTGGCCAAACTGACAAAAGAAAAACAGGAGAGGAAGCAGATAACCCATATAAGAAATGAGATGGGTGATACACAACAGACCCAACTAAAATTAAAAGAATCATAACAGAATACT